TAAGTAACAGGGCAAACCTTGCCTAGTCCCACAATTCAAATGTGTGTTCACAAGATGATCTGTGCAGTCCTAAGAGCTGCCATAACTTGATTCTGTTTCTTAAAACACAAAATAGGGCATATTCCAGATAATCACTACTTATCACCAGTGGCAGTTCTAGCCCAGCCAACTCTTCATTTTTCCATCAGGTCTCACAGAGTGGGTACCACCTTACTCTGAGGACTAGCCTCATTCTGGGCAGGGCTCTTGGCCATTCTCACTAGTAACTATGTAAGCTGGGTGGAAGCATTGCTGACTGAACTATGTTTTGGTCATCTCAGACTCATTTTGTGCATGTCTGTTGTTGCATCTGACTTAGAAATGCTCTGCTAAACTCTGCTAGAGTTCTTTTCCAGTTGCAGATACTGAGCTGGAAAAGGACTGCACACAGAGGAGCCAAGCGGTGTGCTCCACACACCACCAAATTCACTACAGGCAGCTGAAATAGCACTCTGATTTTATAAGCCTTATTCCAGCTTCAACTCACAGATGAGTTACAATGCTTTCAGTCTTGATCTTTGACCACTTAAGGGCTTATTTTATACCCAATTCTGTACATCAAGTGAGAATAATATTAGTATTTTGACACTTTTTAAATGACATGGAGGTACATGATATAGCAAATAATAGGGATAAATAAAATCATAGTGATTTTTCAGATTTCTCAGAAGAAAACAACTATAATGATTTTTTGCCTCAAGCTTCAAGACATACTTTATTCTGATAAAATACAGTGGCCTTCAATCCTTCCTATTGGTGGGCATAAACTCCACACTGTAAAGTTTTCAGTAAGGAGTGACGCATCTCAAATCAAAGAGCTTGTCTCATTGCTGGCTTATGATTGTGTGTACTATGTGACAGTGCCTTTTCTTATAACCGAGATTAGTGTTTTATAACACTACCATGCTCTGCAGTTCAGAACTGACGTACAAATGGAGGCATACAGGCCACCACTGGCAGTTGGAATTCCTTGCCTCATTTCTGGCAGGGTTGCCTCTCTTGCAGTGACATTTCTGGCCCAAATCTCTCTCTCTTTCAATGAAATTACTGGCAAATTTCCCAACACCTTGAATAAGAACAGAATTGGGTCCCATGACCACAAGATGCATGTGCATCTCTCACCATACTGTAAGGAGCAAATGGTCATGATTGCTATCTAGAAATTCAAACTAAGTGGTGGTAACATCTGAGAGTGCATTGATCATATTAACACTCAAGGCAAAATCTATTCCAACTGGCAAAATCTGTTCCAACTGCCTTAAAATATTGCTTCTCTGATTCAAGTTACCTACTTGACACAGAAGAAAAAAAATAAACTCCTCTTTGCCTATCAAGAAAACAAAAACATTTACTACAAGTATAAAAAAAAAATTTGTTTAGAGTATCTTTCATTAAAATTCATCTGTGCAAGTAATTTCCCTGAATATTTTTGGAAAGAAAACAGCCCCAAAAGAAAATTCTTAAAATATTTTTTTGCAGAGTTTTTTAGTAAAGGGGTTTTATTATTTCATTCTACATTGGTCAATGTAATTCAGCATTTATAAAACTGCAGTGCCAGAAGCTTTTCACATAATCTTAGAGTGGTATAAAGCAAAGCAGAAACGTTTTAAAAGCAGCAGGTACCATTCTTAGTCTAGGACCGGTACTGAAGGTAGCTGCTTTTCAAGCTTAGCAGTGGAACAATTAATAAAGGAACCCATTAAGGTCTGATTGTTGCTGCTAAAAAGGAAGGTTGAATTTCAGTCCTTTGAAGTGACTGAGAATGATTCAGGCCTCATTACAGAGATATAATCTACATTCATACATTTATGTTAGTGATTCAAATCTATTGGGACAGATTGAATTCCGTTAAATAGTGCATCTTTCCTGTGGAACTTTTCTCAGGCTTTCTCAGGCTAACCTAAAAGGTGACCTGACAATACAAAGTAGTGGGGTATTTAGGGATTCAACTGTGCTATAAAAGAAAGGCTATACAGAAAGCAGAAAAAAGAATGAGATACAATCTAAAAAGCTATGTCAGCTTTTCATTTGGACTCTGTTTTGTAAATGCCCTCACTGTCATCACACAGGGTAAAAAAGGACTCTATGAGTTGTAGTTGTTTTAAGAACTGCACTGAATACTGCACCTGCCAGAAGCAGATTTAATATGAAACTCCAGATATGTGGGTTTTGTTCTTGACCACAAGATCAACATACAGCCAATCACAAGCTGTACAAGAAATAGGTCTAAGGAGAACTCTTCGTGAGTAAATTCATGACAGTACCTATTTTTTAAATGAGTAGGTGTTAAATATGTGTTTGACCCCCAAACTACCATTTTTTCCTGCCACCAGAGATCTTAAAATACCAATTCATTGTATTTTCCAGCATTTGACAGGAAAAGAAAAATAAAAGGTTTCCTCAGATGTATACTTTTAAGACATTATACTGATTATTTACGATGTAAGCGGTTGGAATCAAAGGAACTTCAGTTTTAGAAACAATGTATTGTACCCTTCATGACCTAGGCAGCAAGCAAACATTGACATTGGCTTTGTATTCACATGTTAGCTGCCTGGTATTCACCAAAAAGTAGGCTTTTGCTTTTCATTTTGGTTTTATTTTTATTTTTTATTTATTATTAGTCGCCAAAAAAGGAAAGCCTAAAACCATATTCACAAAAAAAAAAAAGATAAAAATATCTGAAATACTTCTCAGTGCAAATATATGCAGAATACTCTGAAGTACTATAAACAACACCATAAAACATACTGATTCTAGCATTAAATTGTTTCATTTTTAAGGCTGTTTAAATGTCGCCTCCAGAAGCTGAACACATAAATTTCGGAACCGACTCTCTCCAGAAGAAACACCACAATTGGAGAAGAAAATTCCTAGTTTCTGTTATGAAGTTATCAATATATTTAACATCCTAATCTAATGAATCAACCTAATTTTAGAACTATTTGTTCTTTTCTGCATTTTCTGTTGTTTAATGCCAAATGTAACTGCATAGGCCATTTTCCATTGCATTCCACTGAGCTGCATTATTAAACTGCCTCCATTTAAAAAAAGTTCTGGTTTTATGTATTGAGCTACTCACTGTGTTTCTGTACTACTTTGTTCCTTTGGTACTCCATTCTGTTAGTGAAAGTTCCACCTACTTGCGTTCCAAAACTTTTATTTTACAACACTAAATACTGAACTAAAATCTACTGTTTTGCATGCTGCCCATATCCTGTCAGTCCCTGATCCCTTATTCTGGTGTGAAAAGATCATATGGAAGATGCCTGTTATTTACTGGGAAAGTTGACAGTTCAGTGACAGGCTAGAAATACGAATCTGTCATAACATTCAGTATGTGAAATGACAAATCCATTAAGAAAGATGGAATCAAAGGGAAAAACAACATGTGCCCCTCCAGCAAAATAATAGCTTGAAAAATCGTTTTAAAATAGCCTTGAAAATGGAAAATTTGTTTCTTTCTGGCAAAGGAGACTGTGTTAGTTAAAAAAAAAAATGACAGCAAAAATATTCAGACAGATTTTATGGGGAAACCTTTGCAATCCCAATAAAGCCCCTTTTGCTTTGAAGTCAGATGCATGATTCAGTAAATGACTCATGTTAGCAATTAGAAAATGGTCACTTAGGGCCTTGATTTCTTTTGAGACAAGGAGGGTGAGGGTGGGGAAAGAGACACAATAAATCTTGAGAGGCTTAAAAGGAAGAGCAGGCTAAAGTGTGAACTTTTTATTTCAGCAACGGAAGCGAGAAATCAGTGATTCATTATAGGAGGGAGAAAGACCTCCATGGAAGCTGGCAAAGAGGGAAAAGGAGCTAATTATGCCTATTCCCTTTTTACTCTCTCTGACCAGCATATAATCTGCTTTTCCAGGGTCTGCCTGTAGTATACACTTCTTTCCAACCTCTCCACCCAACCCCTCCTCCGGCGGGGGGAGGGGGAGATCTAGCAGGCAACAAGCTCCAGGTGGCTTTCTCAATCACTTCACTGCCAAAAAAATAAAATAAAATCCTCCGCTAGGAAACAAGTTTCTATTTTCGGGGGGGGGGGGGAGGGGGGAGAGAACGGGTGGAGGAGGAGGGAAGTTTCTCTGGAGGGGATTGGTTCAGCCTGGAGGACAGGGAAATTAGTAAAGCATGAGTCTCTAAACCATGCTGGTGGCCGGCGCTCCGAGGAGAAGGACGCTTTAGGAGCAATTAGCAGCGAGCCGAAGGCAGCGGTGGCGGCTGCCGCTGCAGCGCGAGAGGAAACGAGGGCAGCTCCCGGGGCTGCCTCCGCAGCAGGCACCGCTCGCTCCAGCTGCAAACGGGTTTCAGATGTCCCACTGCTGCTTGACCCCCTGCAAATAAGGGTTGACCACCAGAGGCACATCCCACCTCTGACTTGTAATCGCTGACATTTAGGCTACAACTTCCAACCTGTTTACAACCCAAGGCGGGGGGCGGGAGGGGGAAGAACGGGAAGAGGGGGGAACAAGTTGGGGGTTCCTCCCCCCCCAGATTTAATTTTTTTATTATTATTTTTTAATACTGTTCTGAAGAATTCAAAGCAAAACAAAGGCAATCCCTGCTCTGGGTTTGTCAGTGAGAAAGGACGTGTCGTGCAGCTGGTTTGGGATTTGCAAAAGGCGAGAGAGGGTGGGGATCAGAAGAAGGTGCAAAGCCACAGAGTGTGAGTGCGTTTGTAAGGGGTACGAGTGAAAAATCCCTCCTGGCACCCCTTTCCTCTCATTTTTGTTGTTGTTGTTATTGTTATTCACTTTGGTGTCATCTATTTTTCAGACCTTTCTGCATCTAAGATGGTGAAGAAAGGAGTGAGGAAGAGAACAAAATAACTACTGGGAAGTCTCCAACCAGGTTGGGGAGTGTGTGTGCTTGTGGGGGGGTGGAGAGGGAAGAGAAAAAAAGAAAGAGGATTAACCACAGCAACCCCCCCCCCCCAAAAAAAAAAAAATAAAAAATCCAACAGCTCTTTTTTCTGAGGGAGGACTCGAAGGATTAAAAGGCAGCAACTTCTGAGGCGATTTGTCCCCTGAGTTATGGATGTTGGTGCACTTACTTCAGGCCAGATCAGAGCTCAGAGGAATCTAACCAGAAGCAGCAACCACCGGCTCGCCACTTGCTTTTTACCAGGTTTTACCCTTCCAGTATGTTTCATTTGATAAGACATTTTCCAGCGCCCAGAGTTTCAGTACAATGTGCAAATGGATACTGATAAATGGTGCCTCAGCCTCTTCCCACCTGCCTTGTTGCTGCTTGCTGCTGCTCTTCTTGGTGTCTTCTGTGCCTGTCACCTGCCATGACCTCAGCCAGGACATGCTGTCCCCGGAGGCCACCAACTCTTCTTCTTCATCATCCTCCTCCTTCCCCTCGTCCTTCTCCTCTCCTTCCAGTGCGGGGAGACACGTGCGGAGCTACAATCACCTCCAAGGAGATGTGCGCAAGAGGAAGCTCTACTCTTACAACAAGTACTTTCTCAAGATCGAGAAGAACGGCAAGGTCAGCGGCACCAAGAAGGAGAACTGCCCCTTCAGTAAGTACGACTCTGCCGGTGCGCTGCCCCCCGAGCCGAGCGCCCGGCGGCGGAAGCCCCGGCCCCGCTCTCCCTAGCCGGGGAGGGAAGGGAAGGGGAAGGTGACGGCACGGCGGGTGAACGGAGGGTGGGCTCCTCAGGGACAACGCTCCTCGCCAGGCCGTATCTGCAGATCTCTCCGGTTACATTTGTTCTGCAAATGGCTTCACCGAGCACGGTTTGTTTCTTTGCCTGGCAGAAATGCAAATTAGAAAGATTTGTAAGGATGTGGCGCGGAGCGTGTGTGTGTGGGGGCATTGTCTCCCGAATCTGAAAATCATTATCCCCTGTCATTCCAGTGTCTTGACGAGAACGCTGTATTGAAACAATGCATCGGGTTCCCACACGCACACACACACGCTCTTCTCCCCGCTCAGCAGCAGATCTATCCCCCCGCTGCCCTCTCTCCATCCAGGAGCAGCGGCTGCTCCCAGGGTTAGGTCTTTGCCCCGAGTGTGCTGTGGGGGTGCCCGGCGGGCTCGGCAGCCGGTGCTCTGCCGCGCAGCCACCCGCGGTGCGACGATGCCGGTGCCTGCCGCGTCCCTGGCGTGCGCCCCGCCGCTCCCGGGCGGCAGCGCCGCCGTACCGCTGCTGCCCCATTGTAAACATGTGAGGCGGCGTTCCCATAGACCTCACACGCGTTTCATTGTCGGATGGGTTTCTGGTTGGGAATTTTTTGTTTGAGGTTTTTTTGTTTTGGGTGGGTTTTAGGGGTTTTTTTTTAGAAATTATTTCAAAGCAAAAGTCATATGGCTGTTTCCGTGGCTGAAGTTTTCTGTAGCAGTAACTAGGTTTTCAGTACTACCTGGCTTCTGGTAATGTGTTTTTCACTGTCAGTGCTAGAAATGTAGCCTTTATTCAGTTTTCCTTTCTGTGTAATCTCAAACTGAAGTAACTGTAGTAAACCAAAATACATTGTGTTGTAACTCTCCTGTGACTGCATGCCACTATAGGCGCATGCTGTTATGCCACTGTTGGAGAAAACTCTCTTGACTCTCTTCACTGGTGGAGAACAATGTTTTGGTTCTCGAGTTGATTTATATAAATCCAGATAAATCTGGGAACTTAAGTAGATCTCTTGTTAGCTAATGTGTAAAGTATGGAGTTCTTCAGCAGGTTGCTATGCTGCGTGATAGACATTTCTGTTAATTCAGTTGTATTTCTATTAAATACATGTACAGGCTTAGAAACAGGGAGGAGAAGGCTGCAGTATCACATGTCACTACTTCACTTGCTTCACCTTGCAGCTTCATACTTTATCACGCATTTAATGTTTGTACAAGCTTGAGGTGCCAAAGCAGCTGCATCTTACCACCTCTCTGTCGGTATTTCATAGGAAGCCAAGTTCTTGGAAAGCAGAGGTTTGAGAAAGGCTTCACTTTGTATTTGTTTGGAATGAGGTCCTAGCACCATATTTCTTAGATTACTTTTGTTTGTGGAGGAGGATGTCATAATTCCCCTAAAGTGAGATTCTGAAAATTTCTCTGAGAGCATCAAGCCATTCTGTGTAAGGGGCCCAATCTGACAACAGTGTACTCAGAGAAGTAACTAATGCTCTGAGCAGTCCCACTTAACCAGCAGAGCTGTTCAGTTGCCCACATGCAAGAGCTTCTGCAAGATCTTACCAAGAAAAGGTAAACTACACTGAAATTCACATATATATCTTTATATTTGTTAAGTCTGCATGCAAGAACAGCCCCTGCAACTGTGTGGTGTGATTCTCATTTCCTAGTTCTTCAGTCAGCACATCAGAAAGAGAACTGTCATTCTTGGTGATATCATCATTGTTGTCACATCTGCAGAGTATCTGCTGAAAGAGAGGAGAATGTAATTTGTTTCATATAAAAGCAAAACAATGCCTTTGTTATACATAGTTGTATCCTGTCCCTCAAATTTATGTGCAGTGAAGAAATAACTCCCATCATCTTAAAACTTGTAACTGGCTAACCACACTTAAATCACAGAGTCAGATGTAGAGTACAACATCTTTTACTACAGAACAATTAGGGTCTTGTTAGCAGAAGATAAACCTGTTTGACTTATGTTCCTTAGCAGTCATTATAATCTGCAATGTGAAATTGTGTATTCTGCAAAAGTACCTAGCCTGAGACAATTTAAGAATATGTTTAATGTTCCTTTATTTCAAGGGTGTCTCTATAGCAAAATGTTGCAGATGATTCACAAAAGCTATGCTTTTCATAACCTCATGTGTAGCTGTGCCATCATAACACTACCATAACCCCCAGCTGGACTGAATCCACGCAAATATATCGTATCTTTAAGATAGTCTAAAATACATAATTAGATATGACTAGAACTCCACCATGCATAAAGTTAGCCACACAGCCAACTAAATTGTAGCCCATTTAAGATTAAAAATCATTAATCTCTAAGTTCCTCTTTCAAATTATGCTTTCTTAAACAAGTAATAGTGGCTATTGACACACAAGACTTTGAAATATCCTCATTTGGAAGCTAATTTTCTCATATGCTAACATTTAAAATCCATTTATGCTGCAGCAAAGGCTTATCTGTAGGGCTGTAAGATCACTATATGTTGTGTAATTAGACAACAGCTTTCATGGCTGTCTGCCAGTTAAGCACTGTCAAGTAAGAAGACCAGTTGGAGAGTCAGAATAAACATTCAGAAAACAGAATTTAGTCTCCAGCTTTTAAATGGCTCAAGCAGCATTCATAGATTTTCTTTATAAATATTGTGTAGAGTATGCTAAATTAAAGTTTACTCTGGCAGATGTTTTCCAACTTGATTGCTTGGGACTATTCCATCAGCTTTTCTCTACCTATCTGGTAATGGGAACAAAGGTGGCTTCTGAGTACTTTGTCAGGAGGCTGGGGGAACTTAACAGCATTTAGCATAACTAGAGGGTGTCTGTCACTAGATAGGACACTTTTTAGGTTTTGGTTTATAGTTCCTTACATGTCAAGTTTTATCCTCAAAATTCAGCTTGGGACTACCTCATCCCTCAACACCACAGCTGTGAAGTTTCTTGCCCCTCTTCTTGACAGTCGTTTGTATGCATGAATAAGGAGATCTGTACTACTTTCTTGTGACTTAAGTAGTTGTGGAGAGGGGACAAAACAAAACCAAAAAACCTCCAAAGAGCAATTACAAAAGTTTCCAGTATAACTTGACGCCTGGGATGACCAAGAGAAGCTTAAGCCATATATTAAACTGAGAAAGAGCTGCATGTGTGCAGATCCTGACTTCACTTGAAGCGTTTCACAGAAAGCTTTCTTGAAGATAGTGGAAATTTGGGTTTAATGAATAGCATTCATCAGGCTTGGAACATATGATAAGCTGGTTCAGGAAAATCTGAATGTATTTTCAAGCGTTATACTATTTTCAATTGACTTTTAAGACAACTGTTTATAGTGCTATGAAGCACAGATTTCTAATTTATAGAACAGATCTTAGTAGCTGAAGAACAGTAATGCAATATGCAGTGCTTGATTAGTAGCAGCCAACCAGAAGTCTGTAGGGGGGAGTCCTGCCTGAGCAAGGATTGCAGGATCAGGCCATTATTTAAGTAAGCGTTTAGGGAACGGAGACTGTGTCATTGAGCTTGGGTATTAGTGGGAAGGATTGGTGCAGCGATTCCTGCGAGCGTAGACCAAGCAGTGCTATTTAAAACCTACAGTAGATGGCGGTACAGCCACTGTCTAGTGTCACCACTGCTCGCTCAAATAAGGTGGACAAGAAGGGGCTAGAGCCTCAGCTGTGTGAGCTAATTTACACCAAGGAAAGCTGAAAGATCTTACACCAACCAAGATTCTATTAATCGGCCTTCTAGGCATCCAAAGTGAATTAACCCAAACAGTGCAAAGGCTCTACAGTTTCAGAGTAAGAGTGTTTACTGGGGGAGCTGGCATGAAATAATTAGCTACTTCTCACCAGCTAACCTGTTCCAGGTTTTTCCCTGAGTATGCAATTATCTTTTATACATAGCTTTAGGATCTGCTGAAGTCCCTAATAGTCTTTGGTTTTATTTTAGTTATTGTGGGATCAGATTAGCAACTCAGTGACTAGTAGCAAGAAAATTTTAAGCCCCGTTGTGTAGCCCAAAAGATTGTAAACAACCAGTCTTCTAGAAATGCTGACATGATTATCAAGAGTTTAAGTGCATGTTTATATGCATGACATATAAATACAGGTTTGTGTCATATTTGTGGTTATATACATAAAAATAGCATTAAATGTGTTTTGATTAAGTATACTCAGTTTGATACTAATTTTTTTTTACTATACCTCAGGTGTAATGAAATCATAAAGCTTATTAGGTACCTTAACCTCAGCTGTAAAGCTCAAACCAGACTGGAATACTTGGTAAAATGTGCTATTTTCCTACTAAACATTTTTGAAACCACCTTTTTGGGCTTATCAACTCCTTATGAACTCATGTTTGTAAATTAATGTGAGAACTTTTCCCTGTGTGTCTGAAGACTGATTAGTAGGCATATATGTTTTGTTATTTTATTCTCCACAGATATCTGGTTTACTTTTTAAGCAATCAAAAGACTTTAAATAGGAAATAATACTGTTTTAGTGAAGTAATTGGAAATTCTTTAATACAAAATGTGTAAGTTCTCATGGAGATGATTTCTCACTTTAAGGCTTTTTCTTTTTTTCTTCTGCAGAGCTCACTTACATAATTTATAACCAGCAATATACAACCGTAGACACCTAAGATTTATGAACGTGGAAAGAATTGTGCTATTTAACATCTACATGACACTTTCATGTTACTCTTACTGCATTCCTGCCTTGTGGACCCTCCATGCTGATACTGTAGTCCTGTCATAAATCTGTTCAAAACACACAGTTGTAAGAGGTCTTTTTGTCTTCATAAATCTAACTTATAGCCACTTTTAGAAGAAAAAATGGGGGTAATTGGAAGTTTGTTCTTAAAACCTCAGAAGAAAGAAATCAAGGGGCATGCAGGCTTATAGATGCCATGTTGCTGTTTTAATGGGAGGGTTCTCAGGTGGCTCGGTGGAACTGCCATTGAAGATGGCATTA